CCAACACATCTCTTTGTTATTAATTTACATTTGGTGAGTTTAAATTTAAGACTGAGAACACAGATAACGCATCGAGAAGCGAGACCAAACTGAATGAGTTTGTTAGTCGTTAAGTAACCATGACATTAGTCATTAAGTAACCATGACTTCAACCATTTATGACGTGAAGTGCAGCGTACATATTGTTACATAATATAATAATATGTAATTATTGTGACAGCAATATTCTTTATTTATACATATATACATATACACGAAATAATAAATTCACAATATACATCGATAGCTCGTAAAGATTATTATTAATTCTAATAATGATTAAAATTTTATTCTCCATATTCCATACATTATCTATTAGTAGGATATATTCTTTATCTAATATTACATGTACACACAAATTTGGTACTTAAGATTTTTAATTTTTATATAGTTTATTATATTATTTTCAATGTGAAAATATTGTTGACATTTTTTTCTCGATTAAAATATATCGTTGATATTTGAATTTTATGTAGCTAATTATAGTATATTGTCTTCGTAAATTTATTAAAATATTTTAAATTAAACTTAATTTATTTTACTATTTTTAATATTGTGTACTAAAGCATTAAATTACACAATTGCTTCGAAATATAACATTGCATCGTGAAAAACATGTGTGACAAATGTAATGTTAATAAATTGAAACTAGAATACAAGTACAATGTTATTGATAAAGATTAATCTAACTATTTATCTAGATTAAAATTAATCGACATATTCTCTTTGGTGAAATTCTTAACAGATTGTAATCTATAAACTACATGCAGGATAGCTAATCTTCTTTATTTTATTAATAATAAAAAATGTAATGACGAAAGACATCATAATGGTACGCTAATTTATCAATTGCATTATATTTCGATGAAATGTTCTTTAATCATCGTTAATAAATGAATTAGCTCAAAATACAAAGAAATATACAATAAACTGTTTTTGAAATTTAATTTTAATTATAAAGTCCAAGTATTCAAAGATATGTTTTATTTTTTATCATGTGTGTGTGTGTGTGTGTGTGTGTGTGTGTGTGTGTTCTGAGAAAAATAAAATTATATTAAGTCTAAATTAATTTAAATATTAGACAGGATTAACCCCAAAGGTATCGCTAACGAATTTAACCTTAAGTTATTATATTAAGATAATTCTTACAAACGTATTTATTATATTTGACACATAAGCAAGTAAAATACATTCACAAGATTTATTTTTACAATTAAACGTTAACATATAAGATTTTGTCTCTATATACACTTATTACGTCTATACATGTGTCTAATATCAAAACATACACAAAAGAATACGTTTAAATATTTAAAAGAATATTTTTTTATTTGATTTTTATCTTTTTTTAAGTAGATTGTTTATGTAATATTGTTTGTAATCTTATTGCAAACTTGATCAGTAATTAAAAATTATATTAAAATTAATAGATATGTAGTAATGTTACTCACTATCTAAAATTAAAATTATTTATAAATAACCAGTACACATTATTTAAAACAAATAATTCACTTATCCCGACGAGAAGTGTTGCATCTACTATAAGACCCTTAGCAGAAAATGTATTTTCCCGTTGCAGTACTTGTAAGGAAAACAGCTGCAACTACAAAACATTAGATTAGAAGATAATTAAATATAAAATTAAGAAATAATTACTAACTACACAAATTTAATGTATAAAGTTTGACACACGAGATATCTTCAGAAAATGTACAAATCAAATTTAATTATTTTATTTACTTCATCTTTGATTTGTTCATCGATAGTGTCATTCAATATTTTATGAACCGTGGTACCAATCCCCATGGCCTCATCCTTGCTAGTATCACAAGCCCATCCCATCAGCGTTATTTTGATGCACTGATACATCAAAGACGTTAACAATAACCAATCAAGAGCCTTGTGATTCACATTTTTTGCAATTTTCCAATGAAATATATAGAAATATAAAAAGAAAGTGAGCTCAGCAAAAGTTATAACTATGGTAGCGAGAAGCTGTAGACTGAAAATGATTTGAGTTACTTGGACTCGTCAAATATAAATTCGACAGACTTTTGAAAGTGAAAATTCATTTAGTAAGTGTCTGTTTATTAATGCTGTATTCGAGTATATGTATTGTCTTCATATAATTAAAACATATATTTATTGTCAAAAAAGCATTTTTGCGAGAGAAGCGTCTTGGTGAAACGATCTTCGTGAAACAAACCTTTATTTTCTCGGAATTATAACATTGTGAATAAATGTCGGAATCATTATATATTTAATATAAAATATTTTATTGCATTTTTTTAAAGAAAAAAATATCCGACATACCTCCGATATCATTTTTTCGATCATGTATAAAAATGCCCTCACTTTAGTTGCTCAAATAATTATACTTTTTGGAACAAATCAATATAATGTTTTTTTTTAAATTCACGTTTTTCTTTTTTCAAATATTACTAATCATTGTGTATGCGTATAAATATAATTATCAATTTCTGTTGTGTGTAAAGATATTAAAAACGTTAGTCTTATTTGTTTATATAAAAGAGATAGAAAATGCAAACATTGAGAATTGTCTTAGAGCGTTAAACCAATTTTATTTGAAAATACAAAATGCATTATTAAATAAATTTTAAGTGACATTTAATATTTATGATTTAATAATAAAATATTAGAAAAAGATATAATTCTATGCATCAATTGCTAGTAACAAAACATATATACTTTTTGTAATAATAAAGATTTTGTGATAATAAAGAATTGAGATTTTATTTTAATTGTTTATAACTAAATTTGTCTACACCGTTGTCAGTATAGCATCGATTAGATATTAGATACAATAATTTTTTATTGATATATTTATTCGTA